ACGTTTCGTGGCCCCACAGGGAGCTCCACCGAAGGCCCAGTGCTGCCGTCCGCATGCGTCCCGCACACCCATTTCGGCACACCCCTCACACGTTTCGTGGCCCCATAGGGAGCTCCACCGAAGGCCCCAGTGCTGCCGTCCGCATGCGTCCCGCACACCCATTTCGGCACACCCCTCACACGTTTCGAGGCCCCATAGGGAGCTCCACCGAAGGCCCCATGGCTGCCGTCCGCATGCGTCCCGCACACCCATTTCGGCACACCCCTCACACGTTTCGTGGCCCCACAGGGAGCTCCACCGAAGGCCCCAGTGATGCCGTCCGCATGCGTCCCGCACACCCATTTCGGCACACCCCTCACACGTTTCGTGGCCCCACAGGGAGCTCCACCGAAGGCCCCATGGCTGCCGTCCGCATGCGTCCCGCACACCCATTTCGGCACACCCCTCACACGTTTCGTGGCCCCACAGGGAGCTCCACCGAAGGCGCCAGTGCTGCCGTCCGCATGCGTCCCGCACACCCATTTCGGCACACCCCTCACACGTTTCGTGGCCCCATAGGAGCTCCGCCGAAGGCCCCAATGCTGCCGTCCGCATGCGTCCCGCACACCCATTTCGGCACACCCCTCACACGTTTCGTGGCCCCACAGGGAGCTCCACCGAAGGCCCCAGTGCTGCCGTCCGCATGCGTCCCGCACACCAATTTCGGCACACCCCTCACACGTTTCGTGGCCCCATAGGGAGCTCCGCCGAAGGCCCCAGTGCTGCCGCCCGCATGCGTCACGCACACCCAATTTGGCACACCCCTCACACGTTTCGTGGCCGCAAAGGGAGCTCCACGAAGGTCCCGGTGGGTGTGTCCGCATGCGTCCCGCACATTCATTTCGGCACACCCCTCACACGTTTCGTGGCCCCATAGGGAGCTCCACCGAAGGCCCCAGTGCTGCCGCCCGCATGCGTCCCGCACACCCATTTCGGCACACCCCTCACGCGTTTCGTGGCCCCATAGGGAGCTCCACCGAAGGCCCCAGTGGGTGTGCCCGCATGCGTCCCGCACACCCATTTCGGCACATCCCTCGCACGTTTCGTGGCCCCATAGGGGGCTCCACCGAAGGTCCCAGTGGGTGTGCCCGCATGCGTCCCGCACGCCCATTTCGGCACACCCCTCACACGTTTCGTGGCCCCATAGCTCCACCGAAGGTCCCAGTGGGTGTGCCCGCATGCGTCCCGCACACCCATTTCGGCACACCCCTCACACGTTTCGTGGCCCCATAGGGAGCGCCACCGAAGAAGACATTCACAATTGCGGTACTCACAATTGCATATGGTTGGGTCCTTCGCCAGGATCATTTTTCACAACGCCGAGCCCCAGAAGTCTCGACCACTTGCGCCCTGCGAGGGCCCACATATTCAGAAAGCAATAGCAAAAACCTCACATCGTAATTTTTCCTCGACGCGAGGGGGTCTGGGGTGGCACCTCGAGTTTGGAATGCCGCACCTCCTCAGGGAGGCCGCCAGAGGCGGCCAACAGGATGCCCTGGCGGGCGCCGGGTGGGCGGGCAGTTTCAGAGGAGCAAGGTGTCATGATCATGAGATTCTCCAGGATTTCCCAGACTTCCCAGATCTCCGGATGTTCCCACGCAGGCCGCAGAAACGAGGGCCGCTAGATGTTTTGGAGTTCGTGGAACGTATCTTGAGCCAACTGTATCATGACATCGTTCTGGTCCTAGAGTCGCCCCCCCGCGCTGAGCTGCGTGCCCATCATCCATCGCAGCAGGTGTACTCCAGTACGGCGAGGGGTCCGGAGGCGCGCCTGGCCGCTGGCTGCTGGCAGCGTGGTGACTGCAATGAAGACAGTAGTGTGGGCTGTGAAAGTGGTGGGATGCATCAACTCGCATTGGCGGCGCGCCTTGGGGGGAAGTGAGAGGGGGCATGCCTTCTCAGAATGCGGCGGGGCTTCACATAAGCCCTCTGACCTTCTGATGGGTTTCTGTGTCCTCGGGGACGGGGTAGAAACCTTTCAGAATGCCGTAGGCCTTCCGAGCTTTTGAGAAGCCCCGCCACTTCTCACTTCTCGCCTGGGCTGTCCGCCGATCGTAACATGTTTGTTTGTTGGTGCATGTGTGCGCAAATGTGTGACTCGAACGAGAAGCACCAGCATGAACAGAACGTCTAGGAGTTCCGCCTGGATTTCTCCAGCCTGCGCTGCTTCCCCCTGGCGGCGCCTCCAGGGCCGTTCCTGCCGCGCTCCGCGCGCCACGGAGTGGGGGCCGGCGCGGATCCAAGATCTCCGCGCGGAGTTCTGTCAGTTTTTATGTTTAGGATTTTCTCTTAGTGTAGGCATGCTTGTCTGTTGATGCATGTGCGCGCAGATGTTTGACGGCATTGGCGCCACCGCATCTAGAGCAGAGCGCGATTCCCTCAACTGGCCGTGGTGCATGGTTACGATTCAGAGTGTTGGGCGAGAAGGATATGTGCGCCGAAGACTGCTGGAAGCAGTGGAGCCACGTCACGAGGATTGGTTTTGTTGGACGCACATGTATTCGGTGGTGGGAATCCCCTGCGTCCTCGTCCTCCACCACGTCGTTCCTCTTCCCCTTCTGGGGAGTGGGGGTGGTGCCTTCACGGAGTCGAGAATGCTCAAACTCGTCCGTGCTGCTGTATCAATTTAAATTCGTTATCGTCGTTGTCTGAATGTGAGCTGTCTTGTCAGGTTTAGGTCTTAAAATCGCCGTTTTCAATACTTCCCACAGTGATCAGTACACGCACAACACACGTACACATAATGTATACCTATATGCGTGTCTCTCTCTGTATATATATATATATCTATATCTGTACGTGCATGTACTATTCGTAGTACTCCTGCCGTTTTTACAATATCTCATCGTCAGTTTTCATAGCGGTGGTTAGAGTCAGTGGCCATCAAGCAGTACTCCGGATTTATATGTTCATATACATGTACACATACACGTATGTATACACATACATGTGCCTACGCAGGTACGTACACATCTACATATCCATACACACATGCAAACACATACGCATACGTCTACATACGTATGCACAGGACTATACATAAACCTACACTCAGACACACGCATACATATATATATATATATACATATATATATATACACATATATACACACGTATGTATGTACACTGGGCTACATGGGGGTGGCTGACAGCTTTCTCGCGTCGCCATGGGCGCTCCGGGTCTTCAGGAGCCGTCCCTGAGGGGCCCCCTGCCAGCTTCCTCGTGTCGCCATGAGCGCCCTGGGCCTCCGGGAACCGTCCCGGAGGAGTCCAGAGCAGCTCCCGATCACCACAATAGAGACACAAGACGCCCAAGACAGCCTCCAGACAGCCGAAGATGTTTCCACGACGCCCCAAGGAGCCGCCGAAATCCTGCCCAACAGGCCCCAAGGGCCGAATTCCGTGCATTTTACCTAGGTTTTATAATGCATTTTTACGATTGCGCGTGTCCAGTTACGGTGCAATCTGAAATGGCCCCAGACGCCCTCGAGTTCGCTCTGAGACGGCCCACGAACCTCCCAACATGGCCCACAAACAGCCCCAGAGGGCCCCCAGACCTCCCACGAAGCCGCCAACCAGCCCGTCAGACCTGCCCAACACGATCCATGGAGCCCCTCTTTTCTAAAATAGCGACCCAACACGCCTTCGATTCATGAAAAAATCACGACGGAAGGTTTTTCACAATTTTCGGCCCTTGGGGGCCCTCACCGGGTCTCGGGACAGTCAAAAAACGATTCAGCCTGGGAAGCAGGTCCAGGGGAAACGGTCGAAACTTTTGAGGGTCGACGTTGTGAACAAAAATCCTGACGTAGGGGGTTTGGGAAACCCAGCCACCGCACGAGGAGGCGACTAGGTGAGCCTCAGCCAGCGTAGGAGGCGGCGACGAGGCGCTGCGCGCGAGCAGCAGACGAAACAACTTCGCAAACCCAGCCAAAGCGCATGAAGCGGCGGCGACGAAACGCAGCGACGGGCATGTGCACCGGCCAGATCCTGGTCACGCATCGCGCAATATGGCTTCCTATGATATATCACATAATTGTCAACCTGATATCGGTTTCCCAATGATCTTACATCAATATTGAAGCCGTTGCTGTTTGATGTGTGGAACGCAATGTGTGCCAGCGAGGACCCCAAGCAGCGCGGTATTCCACCCTGGAGTTGTGCTGCATGTGGTGCGTGCTACGTGGTGGACTTTAGGTTGCGCAGTATAGGTGGCGAAACCTATGTAATGAAAACTATGTGTTAACCTATCTGGTGCAACCTAGTTGGTTTAATGCATCTGACGTAATCAGTGTGGTGCATGCATTTTTTTGCAAACGACTTGATACATTCCATGCTCTTGCAAACATCCCACCCACCCACCCGCAACTTGGTTTGCAAAACACATGCGGCGGCGATTGCGATGAGTGCTTGGCGTTGGCTGGTGCATCTCTGCGTTTGCGCTAGTCCGCGCATGCTCGCGCGCACAGCGGCCAGCTAGTTTGCGACCGACGCGACCGCGGTGGCGCTGACAGCTGGGCACTTCCCAGCGGGCACTTCGCTGCGAGTCGGTGACTTCGGCGGGCGCGGTATCATGGCGACCCCGACACCGGTAGACAGGATTATGAAAGTAGCGATGATGGTGACGGTGGTGGTGATGACGACGGCAAGGCCAAGGACGGCGCCGATGTTGATCACGCTCGCCGATAACGGTGACGATTTTCTCGCGTCGGCGATAAAAAAGGTTTTAGAAAGAGTTCGACATGCGCGCGCGGCCGACGCGCGCGAGTGGCCTGCGTGGTATTATCTGAAACGGATCGTACTCCCCCCAGCACGGGTGCAAAGTCGTTCGAATGAGCATAACATGCGGCGCGAAATGCCCACTTGGCAGAATTTGATAAACATGTCTGGACACATTATATATATACATAGATGAAACATATTGGACGAATCTGCAAAAACGCGAGCGCAGGGTTTTTATGGAAAGCTGATGTTGCAAAACCATGTGTTTTCAGTTGTTTCCCGTGACGCTCGCTTTTGAAACCCGTACGTGGCAGTTTTCTTATTTACATACGGTTTTCATATTTATATATAAGTAGTACACACATATTTATGTGTATATATATATATATATATATAAGTACGTGTAACCATTCAGAGACAGTGTTTTATCCACACATATATATATATATACATGTGTGTGTGTGTGTGTGAAGGGTTCCAACATGGGCGCGCGACGACGCGCGCGCGCGCGTACACTTCGTGCCGCTTTTACGACAGCATGCGCGCAAATGCGTCCGAACGATGTCAGTACGCGCGTGCGAAAAAAGGCTACTTTGAAACCATGCTATGATCATGTTGAAAAACCGAGCATTATTGTTGGGAAACCATGTGTTTTAAATGTTGTTGTGCCACTCGTTTTTGTTTGTTGTTCATTGTTTTTGAACTTCTTGAGAAACCTATAGTTTTTTATTTCGGCATGCGTGCGCGCGAGAACGCGCGCGTGTGCACTTCGTCCCTTTCGTTGCAAGGGTTTTTGGACATTGATGGTTTTTGATCGACGAGTGCTCGCGCATCTTTTTGCAGAGGATGAAGGGAGGGGGGTGTCGATACCAGGTGGGTTGGGATGGTATGCGTTCATGTGTAGACTGGGCAAGACGTCGTAATCATTTGCAAATCGCATGTCGCGGGGGGGGGGGACCGTTGATTCCGGTTTTGGGAGGGGGGTCGAATCAGTTGTTCTTTTAAATGGAGGACCTATGTGGTGCAAACTATGACTTGCAATCCATGTGGTGCAGTCTACCATGTGCAAACTACGCGGTGCGTTGTACGTGGTGTAATCTATGTGGTGCAGCATCAGTGCTGCAAGCTTTGCGTTGCATGCTAGGTGCGGCAATCGGTATACGATGTAACCAATGTGATGTGAGCCGTGGTGCAATTCAGTTTCGCCAACTCATGAGTTGTCGACTCCACTGCTCGCGCAATCATCCCACCCGCCCACCCGCAACTTGTTTTACATAGTCACTGGGGCTGCGATTGCGGTGATTGCTTGGCCCTGGCTTGCGCGTCTCTGCGGCCGCGCTGGCGCGTGCAAGCTCGTTCGCAGTGTGGCCAACTGGTGTGGCGCAGCTGATGTGGGCGCGATGGTGCCTGCCGATGGCAACTTCCCAGTCCGTCTCAGAGGCCGCACTGGCGCGCAGGCAATTCTGCGCTGGTCGCTGGCTCGGGCGGGCGCGATATCATGATGACGTCGACAACGGCGACAACGGGGATAATACTTGCCATTCTTTTGTGTTTTGACATCGGTATTTGAATGTCTTGAAATTCTTTGAGAAACCATGGTTTCGGACGGATTCTTGCGCGCGCGTGGCGGCGCGCGCGCGCGTGTCCCCAGTGGTATTATTCGACACGGCTTCGTGCGCTGGGCGCATGCCGGATCAATTCGGATGCAACGCGTGGTCAGGTGAGAATGCTGGTTCAGAGCGGGATTGCTGAACTCACATGGTTTCCCGATGATTTCACCAAATGCGGGCGTGGAGGCACTTTGCAATATTTTGATGGACGGCTCACGTAATATCGCAATCTGTTGACACGCGTGCAGAACCCTCGCTACAATTTTGACACGTGCGCGCGTGTGGACTCAGGTCAATATTTTGCAACATGGCTTTTTGAACCGTGATGTATCAGATATGCGAATGTGCGCGCATGGGATTATTTGACCTGTACGCGATGGTAGGAGATACCGATTGGGCTGGGACGTATGAATTCATGTGGAAGATGTGCGATACAGCATAGTTACATGTAGTTTGCAGTGTCCCAGGGCGGCCAGCTAATTCTGAGGTTGGGAATGGGGTGGGTCTTATTTCCCCTTCTATGTGGTGCAACGCATGTGATGCAACACGCGTTACTTAACTTGAAGTATTCACCCCCACGGCTCGCGCAATAATTCCACCCTCATTTTTCGCAACTTGTTTTGCATAGCCACTGCGGCGTCGATTGTGGTGATTATTCGGCTCCAGCTGGCGCATCCCTGCTGCAAGTTCGTGCGCAGTGTTACCAGCTGGTTGGGCACAACCGACGCGGCTGTGATGGCGCTTACCGATGGGGACTTCCCAGCGCGTCTCAAAGGCCGTGGTGGCGCGCGGGCACTTCATTGCGATTCAGTGATTCGGGCGGGCGCGGTATCATGATGACGTCGACAACGGTAACAATGATGACGAGAGTAGCGATGGTGGCGGCGATGATGATGATGGCGACGGCAAGGACAATGTCGATGCCGATGCTGGTGGCGGCGATGATGATGCTGATGGTGATGATGATGATGCCCATGTGTCGGTGATGAACGTGATTGACTAATGATGGCGGCAATGGTGGCGATTGGCGATGACGATAACGGTGGTGATCGGTGGCGCGCGCAGTCACGCAAGGATCCAGGCAAACAATTTGTCAAAACACACTTGGGCCGCATATGTTTTAGTTCTAGATTGACATGTTTCGAGCATCGGTGGTTTGGGACAGATTTCAGCTCGCGCGTGGCGGTGCGTGCGTTTGGGCCGTTTGGTGTTCTTCCCCAAGCAGTGCTTGCATTTAAGGGTATCTGATTTCTGTTCGAAAGAAAAACTGGTCTGGTGTGGCGGTCTGGCGGCAACGTTGTCGCCGTCGCCGCCCTGTCGCCGCGTCGTCGCCGCCAGTCGCTTGGGCTGGTGTGGCGGTCTGGCGGTTATGTTCTCGCCGTCGCCACCCCGTCGCCGCCTCGTCGACGCGCGTCGTCTGGGCCGGTGTGGTGGTTTGGCTGCTCTATTGTCTCCGTCGCTGCCCCGTCGCCGACTCGTCGCCGCCGCCCGTCGTATGGGCCAGTGTGGCGGTTTGGCGGCGCTATGTTGTCGCCGTTTCCGCCCCGTCGCCGCCACTTCGCCGCCCGTCGCTTTGTATCACAAGGTATTCTCGACATAAATTGCACAATATCGACGTTGCCTACGGCGAATCACCGCCGCCTCCTGCCTTTTGGAATCGCCCATGTGGCCGAACATTGTGGGCAGAGCTCTGCCAAGCTATCGGAACATGTGTTCCCCCAAGCGTTCTGGAAACACTTCGGGGAACACGCGGGGGAGCAAAACGAAGCGGAAGTGAGGGAGGACAAATAAAGAGCAGGAGGAGGAGTAGGAGGATGAGGAGGAGGAGGAGGAAGAAGAGGAGGAGGAGGAGGAGGAGGAGGAGGAGGAGGAGGAGGAGGAGGAGGAGGAGGAGGAGTAGACCTCTTGAGCGCCTCTTGGTGCACTCGTGGGGTCTCTTGGGAGCTTCCTGAGAGCGTCTTCGAGGCCTCTCGGGGTCTCCGTCGGCCTCTTGGGGGCCTTTGGGGGCCATTGATGGCTTGTTCGGGGCCTCTTTGGCTGTCTAAGGGCGGTCCGGAGCTGCCTGATTCCGTCGGGAGCCGTCTTGGGGGCCTCTCTGGACCGTCTTGGGGCTCTCTACGGGCGCTTCAGGGCCGTTTCAGAGGCCATCTTGGCCGTCATGCGGGCCTCTTGGGCCTTCTCGGGCTCCCCTCTTGGCCGTCTTGGGTGTGCCTTGGGCCGTCCTGGGCCATATTGGAGGCCTCTTGGTCGCTCCGGGGGCGATCTTGGGGGCCTCTTGGGTCGTCTTGGGCCGTCGGAAGGCTGCGAAAAGAAGCAAATGCCAGCATCTGCCAAAAACCGAAGGGCAATCACTGATTTTGGCCTCTTCGGGCCTTCCTGGAGGACCTCTTGGATGCCTCTTGTGGGCCTTCTTGGAGGCCTCATGGGGGCCGCTGGGGACGTCTTGAAGGCCTCTTGGAGGCTTCGAGGGCGAACTTGGAGGCATCTTGGACTCTCTTGGGCCGTCCTGGAGACCTGTTTGGACCATCTAGGGCGAACTTGGAGGCCATCCTGGCTCATCTTGGGCGAACTTGGAGGCCCTCTAGGGGCCGTCTTCGAGGCTTCTTGGGCCGTCATGAGGTCATCTTGGAGGTTTTTGGAGCCATTTTTGGGCGATCTTGGGAACCTCTTGGGCCGTCTTGGGCCGTAAGACCGAAAAGAAGCAAGTGCCCAAATCCTTCAAACGCCTAAACAAAAACAATTATTTTGACCTCTTCGGGCCCTCCTGGAGGACCTCCTGGAGCTCTTGGCCGTCTCGAAGGCTTGTTAGGGGCTTGTTAGGGTCCCTCGCGGGGACCCTGGTTCTGGAGAATCCTTTGGTGGGACGACAAAAGAGGAGGTGTTGGGATTGAGGAAGAGCTAGCACATATCACTTCATATGTGCAAGCGGCTTGTGTGTTCGCCTTTCTCTCCTCTGATCCTCCTGGTGTCGTCACAACCGTTTCGTCCGTAGCTTTTCCTCCCTCTCGCTGACCACCCTAGAAAGCTGGGCGTGCGCCAGGTGAGCGGATAGCCATTCTCGTCACGGTCTAGACCTCCGCCCCCCTCGTTTTCGGTTGGTTCGCGGGCCCCCGTCCGGGGCGAATATCGTGGGGCCCTTGGGGAGGTCCAGGGGCCCCGGGACCCTTAGTGGGTCCTGCTGAGGCCCGTCTGCGGGGCAGTTTGCGTCATCGGGGCGGGGCCCCCCTTGGTTGCCCGCCCGATGTCCTCGACTAAGTCCTCGGTCGGAGTGTTGTCGGTTGCTGTCGGCCCGAGTGGGGAGGTCCCTAGGGGACTCTGGTTCTGGGTAACCCTCTGGTGGGACGACAAACAAATATATGTTTGGATTGAGGAAGAGCTGATGCATATATGTTTTTTTGTGTTCGCTGGTGTCAGTCGCCCTCCCTGATAGGCCTTAGGATCCAATGCCGCCTGGCCGTGCAGGGGTTGGAAGAGCTGGCGATTCCCCCTTCGGCTCCGACAGAGCTCATCATTGTGGATCGGCTTGCGAATCTTGATTGGTAGTTGATCACCCGCCTTCTGGAAGTTCGTCGCAAATGGTATTATTGTCAGGTCAATTGGTGGGGCGTCGAAGACAAGAGCCGAGGAACGACAAACTGGACCTTAGACTTGCTGGGCGTCAGGGTCTGTAATGGTTACCCACGAAACAGACATATTTGCCCCGCGTCGTTGGCCTGCAAGTGTCGCCACGTAGTAAGTCCAGTGCATTTTCAAAACGATTCGCTAGGACGTGGGAGTGGAGATGGCAGGGCTTCTCATGCCGCGGCCCCTGTCCTGCGGAGGACCCTCCTTTCTCGAATCGTTTTCAATGACTTGCAAAGTGTCCGAGTCGGTCGAAACAGCGTGCGAACACACCTTGCCAGTGCTTCTGTTTTAACTTGGTTGCGCTACCATGAACAAAAAGGCCACCACCATTGCCGAACATTCCCCGAACCATGTCCAAGACAGTGCACGATATTCCCCCCATTCTAGGAATGGTGTTGATTGCTGACATCCAGAGAGGCATTCAAGAGCTCCCAGGAACTTTCATGCAGGGACAAGAGGCTTCCACAATGATTCCCGTCGGCTTTTGGGCGCCCTCATGCGTCAAAGGTGGTTTTGCATTGCCTT